CACGTATGTAAAGTGTACGCAATTAATTAAACTGCCTGTTAGTCCACGTTGAAATATGCGTATGTTTACTTTACTTAAATCTAAAATTTTAAACGTTTTATTATATTATATTGCAAATATGAAAATGTGGCTGCTATTAAATTAACTTAATTATCAGTAGAGTCACATTATTATATACCAAAAATCTAAGTTAGCCAGAATTCTTTGCCAATGCAATTATAATCAATATAACTAAAGCTATATTCTCAATCTAGATCGTTACAATACTTCATAGATTAGACGATAATTTATAATTAGTAAATATCGAATTTATACTCTTACATACAGTATTTGAGAGATTTGAATGACTGTAATGAGAATTGTGCTACTGGTAATACGTATGAATAGCAATATATCATTAAGTTAGTGTTATGGAATACAACTATAATATATGAAAGATTAATATTAGACTATTACGGCGTAAAGTGATATATCGCAAGAATATATTTGATTAGCTTGAATTTAGAAATAACAAAAATTTATGTAGTATAAATACTACCAAAGTGTATATTAAATTATTACCGATGTTTTCTCATTTCACATTTCATAGTTAAAATAAGCTAAAGTATCGCTTTTGTATCTCTTAAGATTAGCAGACTGCCTTCAATATGCAGCTATAGGAATACATTAGACTAATTTGACGACATTTGTCGATCAAAGAATTAACCGCATAATTAAATATAATGCTATGATTCATTATTTGCATAGTTTATTAACCCATAATTATACCAATTTATTTGTATACTGCTTTATGGCTTGGATAAAATAATGGTAACATTTCTGCTGACAGAATATAGTCCAATTTGATACATTTGGCGATGTTCATCCACATGTTACATATCTAGTTCAACATCAAGGTTAGTTCTAGGTTAATTTTAAAATGAATCTATTACGATTTAATAGATATAGCAATGATTGCTTACTTTTTATTGCTTTTACTTTGAACGTGAAACATATATTTTAATTCATGATCACGGTTACCAATTTAGTAATTATTGATTAGTGAATAATGAATACTTTTAAATAGTCTAGATAAGTTCATAAACTATGTTTGATGTTTAATTTTACTGGGCTTATAGTTAATGCTGCGGTAGTAGAATTATGATATAAATACAAACTATTGCGAGTTAATTTATTGTAGATTGAAAGGTGTACTAAGTTCTAACAATTGAACCGCGTGTGGCCAGATTAACATATACTTTAATGTACGTAACTTACAAAATATATATTTAAGCCAGATAATACTAGAATTTATTGTAGAAACTTATTTAAGCACGTGTGCTTGTAAAGCAAAAGTAGCGATTACCCAATAATCAAGAAGTGCACTGGAGTCATAACGTGAAGTGTAGTAATTAATCATTTCTCTACGGAGTACAGTCGAGAAATCAAGTTCTCATATATCGTTTGCTTAGAGAATGAAATGACTGAGGGAAGTAGCTCGAGCTATCATAACTACACCAGAGTTTTTGTGAATCTTTACCACAAATGAGGGTTGTGGCATCTATATAGTACTATTTTCGTCTTTTAAATTTCTTACAAATAGGTAAAGTCAAAAGAACAGTTGCTACTATTTTGCCTAAAGAGAAACGCGTCGATTTCTTTACTACACCTCCGAATGTTATAAGATGGGCAGGTTGAACACGATTTTTGACCTTAATGAGAATTATACTAGTCTTATGAAAATGTTAATATAATTAAACTTTTCTAGTACTGTAATACGTTATTAAGTTTATTGGTGAATAATAACAACTTTCTAATTGATATAGGTGCTGGACCCCCAGTAGATCATATTAAATTAAAACAAGTTGATACAAGGCTTCCACTACATGTTTTTATCATTATGGCCGCTCTATCATGTTTAGCCATAATTTTGACTATAGTTTTTATGATTTACAACAATAAATACAGAAACGCCAGGTGATAATAATGTACTTTACTCGTTTCGAATAACACTGACAGCACGATGCAGTGCTTAAAAGCAAGATTTAATTAGCTTTAGAAACAGCATATTCATTTTAAAATATGTCTAGTTGTACTTAATTGAAAGTAGCCGTAAGATAAAACATACACGTAGTCACAAATAGTAATGTAGAATTAAGATATCTATAAATTTTACTATAGTAAATTAATTGAAGTATGTTTGAAGAAATAAAAGAATTTAATTAATACGGTACCTAAATATGTAATACAGAAGATCTAGAGTAAATAGCTCGTAATCTACCTTTAATCAATTATCATCTTCACGTATACGTAAAATAACTGACAGAATATTATTTTGGAATTTTGATACAAAAAAGCCAAGAAATTTTCTGCTTATATAAGACTTTATTCTGTTATACTTTTAGAGTTATTAAAATGTCCAGCCCCAACTTGAATAATTGCATTTTAATCGGATGCATTCTATTGTACAGTTCAAACATTATAAGTGGAACCATTAGTATTATATCATCCGCAACTTTATGTATGGTAAGTAATATAATACTTATTAGAAATATCCGTAGTTATAAGCAAGTTAATATCAAATTTATTCAAGCGTATAATAAACACAATTTTCAATCAATTATTATTATAAAAGGACGCAAACTCATTATACTACTGTATATACGAGTATAATAGGGATTAGAACTTACGCGCATTCCGTATATGTCACACTAGTCATAACCCAATGTTGCAAGAAAAAACATCTGATAGTTTAAGCGCAGAATCAAAATCACAACTATAACAAGACTCATATACTTTTAGCAGCTTTTGTTCCATGAAAAGACCCCAAGTAATATAGGAAATATTATAAGTATCTACATGATATAGTTTTGTCGTTATTACTATTCTTAACTGACGTAACATGAATTCCATAGGATAATTTATCTAGGAATATATTTACATACATATCGTTATCTATGACCTTTTACATATTTTTAATAGATAATTGCATAGTTTTGTAATATTATCTATAAACTGATAATTAATGTTTAATGTTTATGCCCATTTACTACAAATTGACTGACTTATAAATAAAATTTGGGTTCAGTTTTGTCTAAGAGAGACTAGTGTTGTATTACAGTTCCCCCTGACGATAGGAGATCGTCAGTATTTAGAGTCGTGTTGTAGGTTAATATTAGGGAAGTCAAACTTGACGGTAGACTCGTAGTATGATTTCTACAATAGTTTAACATTTTCCTCGTTATAAATTTCGATTTGTAACACTAGCTTTTAATGAATGAATTTCTTATCATTTTTATCGAAAGTTAGGACCATGGTTAACAACAATAGGATTTGCCACAGTATCTGGTTCTATGTTTGCTAAGACCTATCGAGCTTATAAAATTTTGACAACCAAAAAGAGAATTAATGTAAGTGCTTTTGTAAATTTACCGTATGTATATATTTGTATTTTCTAGATTCACTCCTTTATTCAAACGGAAATAAATATCTAGTCTATATGTTTATTAAATATATAAGTATATTAATATTGATTTCTTCTGTACATGCATAATCTGATGAAACGATCGATAATTGAAATCGATAGCCTATACATGATTATCATCTATATGGTATAGTTACAGTATTAATTCTAATAGAAACAACCGTATTAACGACGTGGACAGTAATGGATCCAATGAAGCCAGAGTATAGAATCTTACCTAGACAGGTATTGTAATAAGTTAGCTTTATTATCTATATGTGTAGTTAAAAAGAAAACTATTAATTATCTTACAGCAGTTACATCTTTGACGAAACAAACTAAACATTTTGCGTACTTAGTTTTCTTCGGTACTAGTACTAGTTTTAAACATCTTAAATATATTATTAACTTTTTACTAGACTTCTCCAAACAACAGCTTTATAATTTTAGTTCCAAGACTACTAGAATGTTCGTGCAAGAACAATATCATATGGCTGGCAACAATTTTAACTTTAAATGCATTCGTGTTAATTTTTGGCGCATTTCTAGCTTATGAAGCAAGAAATATTAAATTATCTGTTATGAATGAATCGAAACAAATTGCTCTTTGTATTTATAATGTTGCACTTTTATGTATTATTGTCATTCCAATCTCATTTTTCTTACCAAATACATCTGGAGAAACATATATTGCATCGAGTGGATTAATACTCTATTGTACAACAACGACAACATGTATTTTCTTCATCCCAAAGGTATTGACAGTATTTCTGATATACCATAATCTTATTTATGTTAGTAATAGCTCTATAGTGACTATGCACAATATTTTACTGCCTACTTCAATAATGATTAGGATACTATTTAATATTCGTATCTATTAACTTTGAATTTATCAATTTATTACAGATTAAGTATAAACATGATGTCGTTTATCCTAATCGGCGATTGTGCTCTGTTGGAGGAGACAAAAGCACAAATACAAAGATCGAATCGTGATCAAGATAGCATGAATAATCTTATAATTCAACTAGTAAACATAATTACCAAGCTACTACATAACGCATGTTTAAAGTTATCTAATGTTAGATATAGATAACGCCTTTAATACTAGACCGAAAAAATCTTAAATATAAGACATGATTGTGTATGATCATTTTGAAAGGTGTAAATTTAATTTCGGTCTCGTATTAATGCGGCTATAATTTGAATTTGAATTATAGTTGATAGAGAGTGTACTATTTGACGATACGATAATCCTCGAAGCGTAGTAAATTCTTAATTTTCAATGATTTTCAGTATTAATTATGTAACGATAAGTACTGGAATATCATTCCGCTAGTTATATTGCCTTCCATGCTGTTGTTGCTTATTAAATTATAGATACATCAGCTAGGTCACTAATTAAATACCTATATACGTTAATTATTTTTAAAGATTTCTTTGGATAACGATTATTATGAGCTGTAGTAAGTATTGAGTTGTATTGTTTTTCCGTTATAGCTAGATTATATGGAACTTCATTTTATAAACCATAGTAAACTTTTATCTCACTCAGTCAGCCTATATTTATTGCAAGCCAGTAGTTGAATAGATTAAGATATAGTAGCAGAGAAACACCACATATTTGACTATAATAATAGCTATACTGTATTTGATATAGTTAGGATACTAAGAATAGATATTACCGTGATGCTAATATTAGGTGATTGTCGACTACTACGTTAGAAATTGTTGACTAATTAAGGTACAAGATTTATGCCACTTGATTTACTGTAATTGTGAAGATTCTCAATACCGATAGGTGCTGGACGATAATAGAAGAGTAATTATATTTTAAGTAGATTGATTCGGATTGTAGAACGTATTGATGATTTATTTAAGGAAAGGTATTCTGCTTGATGATTCAACTCTGATTGTAGCTTATTGTGTTGCCATAAATAGATTTAACGAAGTGTACCAAGAACTCCGGAGATGAGCTCACATTAGAGACTTTACTTCGCTTTGAGTTCTGAATACTTTAGACTAGATTCTTGTAGTGCTTAATTAATTGCTCTAATATTCCTAAACTTTGCAGTAAAGTCTTTTAGAAAATTTCATTTGACTAAGACAGTTCTTTGCGTGATACTTTAATTACAATAGACTATCTG